GTTTTTTCATTGTTCTTAAAACGGCACAACTATCGCGCAAGACGGCCGGTAGTGAAGTAAATCTACTACCCAGTTTTCTGTCGACTGGAACCGAGAAGTGGTCCTGATGGGATAGCTCACTGCATACGCAAGCACACGTACTATTGGTGAGGGAATGGAACTGCACACTTCTCCACTGCTTGTCACTCAGGCACAAAGTGGCCAGAGGCTGGGCCAGTCAAACGTTGACGAATAGTTCGACCCTAAGTAAGTATTCGTCGTGAAATTTCCACTTCCGCAGCCATCTATACCCGTTTTCACCTCAAGAACCGGGGCAAAATAAGTCCGGCTCCGCGCGGAGGATTACTAATCGCCCTCTTTATGTAGAGATTTAAGGTATATGTAGGATCATTTTAAATTCGATATATGTTATCTTATCTAGACGCATACGTTTCAAATGCCAAAAGCATCGCTTCTTCCTCCGAAAACCAAATCCCGTAAGAACTACTTTGCGTGGCGTATGAACAACGGGCAAAACGCCCTTTTTTTTCTTCGGGTGAAAACGGATATAGCGAATGCTAGACGAAGTTTCCAATGCACAGTCTGCTTCCGGCTCGTTGTATACGTTCGATTCAATCCGGAAAAAGCTCCACGATCTAACTTTAAATCCCAGGTGACTGAGTTGCGTTAATTACACAAGCAACTAAACTGGAATGATAAAGTCGTGCCCCGTCTTTCTTGGAATGCGCGTTTACTATGCTCATCTTCACACACAGCACAAGAAGGACTCATATTGAACTGGATTTTCCTTCGCAAACTCGCGTTTCCTACACACACACAGAATTTCATGGCGGTGGCCCAATGTCCCGCGTATTCAGGACGCTGGCTCAACACCGCCGACGGCGAGGGACAATCGGCGTGTAAGTCTATCGTAATCCACCAGCCGTGACACAATGCAACAGCGTATTCAACCCACGCCGATGCACATTATCCAAAGTTTCACGGTTCGGGGACACTCGGGTCGTTCGCGATTTGAAGAAAATGGCCGGAATGGCTTCGGAAACAAACGGCGTGGCGGTCCCGAGACCTAGAAGCATCATTGTTTGATAAAGATTCGGTCTACACATAGTAGATTAATGCCTGAATGTAACGTATTCATGTCTGCCTCCACAGAAACAGATCCATTAGTGAGGATATGTATGAAAGAGTGAGTAGGGTCAGGTGATAAGAGGGAGGTGGCTAATTGGTCCGGGGGTCCAGGTAAGCATATCTGGTATAGGCGAGGAGGAAAAAATAATAAAACAGTTCACCCCACAAATAGTGCAATAATAGATGGGAGGCAAAACGCGACGGCAAAACAATGCTTTCGTCCACACTGGAAGTGACGATATCGATGCTTGAGGCATCCTTATAAAGTTTTCTGCTATTGTAATTTTCGGTTCATTTATCTTGGTTGAAGGAAACGGTTTTGTTGTTCATGCAACGTTATCAGGCACCGTGGATACTTTGTACGGACAGAAAGGGTTATGCCGGGTCGGTCTCTGGCTAAATGTGCGAGGGGGAGGGTAGGTTTACGTGCCTTGTACGAGTGGAGGTCGTTGGTTTGAATGGAAGGTCAAGACGAGATGTACCCTAGCTGACGGTCACGGGAGCGTGTGCGGCAGATGGTATAAATACGACCTTGACCAATAAAGTTTAGTTGCTGCGTAATAGATGTTTTGTGTTTGTTTCCTTTTTCGTCCGTCTCCAGTTTTTTTTCAAAAATGAGGAAACTATGTGTCGAGATGCGTACGACTGTTTTAAAGTATCTCAGGACAGCATCTGCTCTTACGCATGGTAGATGCGACGTGATCCTGCGCTTGTTGTTTTGTGCGTGTCCGTGATTAACGCTGGATGTGGTCGTACGCCTTAACGAGAAATGGGATATAGGATGACGATTAAATATCCCGTACTTTCAAAGTGTATCTTGTTTTTATACTTAGATCGGGCTCTTGCGACGAACTGCGGCGGCTGGAGCGGTGTGTGATTTCGTAACGTTTCGTAACACGGCACCGTTCTCTTGTCTGACTTTCTCCGAATGAAAAGCTTCAAATCGCATTATCAAAAAAATAAACAAAAAGACACCGCAGATGTCATACTCAGCGCCTTGTCGTGGTAGCGCAACCTGAATTTCCGAGTTGCGTAAGTCGGTTTGTGTAGATAGCTCAAGCGTCACGGGATGCTGTCGCCACGCTTTGACAATCTCTCAGCGACTCCTCAGAGCACGGCTCTCGTGATTCGCCGTGAGGCAAGGCAGCACCGACTGCGACGGCGGCACATTCGCCAACCACGTCGTCAAAGACGAACCCCGAGTGATTCCCAGTTCACTGTGTTGAATCGCGCACTAAAGTGACTGGAGTTGGATAGATGCAATATTGATGTGTCCGTGGTATGTGAGGGGAGATCGGGGTTATACTCATAACAAAAAAAAAAAAAAAAATTAGCAATCAAATCGCTTCTACTGCGAAGGAAGTGCGCACCGTGGCTAAAACAAGATAACGGAGCGTGATGCCGGACAACCGTCGTTGAATGACGCCATAGCAGTTCCGCTTAGCTTTCCACCTGTCCTACACAAAACAGGTTGATCGAACTCCGCATATGGAAAAGTAGCATCGGGGCCAATGGGGCGTAAACAGAGGCAACAGAAGGTATCGCGAAGACGACGGACGTTGCCAGTTTTATCCTAGGTACAAATAACTTCTCCCACGCCGCCCATGATGTCATGTGGGCGATGCTTCCATCGTTAGGTGGCGCAAGCTACTGTCCGGTATAAAGGGTACAACGGTTATGCATCCATCCATTCGTCCAAAGAAGTCAAGAATAGCCAGGGTTAGCAGATTAGGCTATGAATAGCCAAATTGGGCTAACTAGTGAAAGGTTTGGCGTCGAAATTTTGCGGTTGGCTATGTCGCTACGCGCGGCTATTTTTGGGCTATGTCCAATTTTTACACGATATCCTCGAAATTGTCCCTTTTCCTTCTGTATACTGTAGGATATCTCAAGAAACCCTGAAAAACATCTTTTATGTGAAGTCTTTTTTTTTCTTTAAGCCGAGCGAAACGTTCACCTTCCAGCGAAGCTAGTACGAGTGGGACAAATGCTTCCTCATAGTATTGTTCATAGCATGAGACTGTCCAAATGTGTCCACATGATCTTTTGGTTTTATTATTTGAAATAAACTGTTTTCTGGGTCTCTTAATACTTTGACTTTGCATACTGTCTCTCATCTAAACACATACAGAAGCAGAGCTTTCGCCTTCTGCTTGTAAACGCAGTATACAAGTTTTGGCTACTTTTGGGCTACACTGATTAGTCATTTGGCTATATCAGTTAGGAGCTATCTGGCAACCCTGAGAATAGCCTCGAAGCAGGGCCCGACGGAGCAGCGTGAGGCGCGACACCAGTGTCATTCCATCGGAAACACGACCTGCTAAAACATCCAAAGTGAAAGTTGTCAACAAATCTGGGTAGCAATCTAAAAAAAAAAAAAATTTGGAAGATTATTAATAATAAAAAAAAAAAAAAAACACGATGGGTTCGAGCAACTGGAAAACGATTGGTTGAATCCCACTCCTGCTAACGCCCCCCCCCCCCCCCCCCCCCCAAACCAAAAAAAAAAAAAAGTTGCGCGAAAACGGGGTTTTACTATACCTACCCATAAAGCACTGGCTAAATAAACAGCCTGAAACTTAGAAAGGATCACGAGCAGAGGTACGCTGTACAAATGGTCCAATACCATACATGTGGTGAACTGCACTGTCAAGTTTCGCTTTGTTAAATTTTATTTCGCAAGCAGATCGCAAATTTCAGAAGTCTACAAACTATTTATTGGGAGCGTGCGTATAGAGATTCACATCAAGAATGGAACACGTTTCAAATGAGAGTCCGAGGGTCTAGCTAGATGGATGGATACGGTTGAACCCTTGACATCGGGCTGCGGCTTGCGCTATCTAGCTAGTGTTTTCACTCTCGGCAGTCAATATCGACGTATAGAAATATATATATATATATAAAGGCAGAAGACTTGTCATAGTACCATTCCTAATAATTCAAGTTCGCGTGACGCAAGCGAGTCTTCCCAACTGGGTGCGCTGAACTACGCTCTGTATCGTAGGTAAGGGAATAATGAAATAATTATTCTTTCCATCCGTTTACGCCACCAGCCAAATCACCTATGCCTTGTTTCACCACCTTCCCGATGCCTGTTGTATTCTCTACTAAATCAGTCACCCCTTGGGCCACAGCAGAGTAGAGTAGTAGGTTAGCATCGGCTTAGGCCAAGCTAGATGATCGAAAGAAAATCCAGCTTGCCACTCTAGCAGGTGGATGCCCGACAAGTAGCTCTGTACCCAGTGGGCGACAGGTTGCGTCATTCAATGCGCCAGGGCAATCCATCGTATATGCTGAATGGAGGCACGCGTTAGCTCATAATCCCACCCTAACATATTTGTGAGTGCTTGTCTATCATGAAAAAACAAGAAAATCTCGGACTTGTTCTGTTTTCAGGCTGTACCATATCGCGATGATCGGTCAGTGAAACTTCAACGAGCAAGCTAGTTCGTGTTTTTGACACGACGGGGCAGGCTCCATCGCAGTTTTTTTCAAAAGCGGTCGGGCGCGGTGTACAAAATTTTCAACGGCGGCTGAAACATCCAAGCGAGCGGTCAACGGCACCGTAAAACGCGAAGCAAAACAAGCAAGCAAACAAAACGTGAATGGAGAAGAAAAACAAGCGTAAAAAAGAAAAGAAGTCGCGTTCATAGAGTGACGTGTGACTAAAAATAAACCCACTCCCAAATACCGCAAGAGGCAGCTAGAGCACACGCCCGACTCGAAGCGAGGGAGAAAACAGCGGCGCCTCCGGCTCTCACAAAGAGAGCAGCGTGTTGCTTGCTGCTGCCTGCCACGGACGAATACGACACCCACAACCACGCGCACACGACACGGGATTGAGTGCCTAAAAAAAGAAGCCCTCTCCTCACCTCGTTCAGAGAGTTATCCGCCCGGGAACTGTCCCACATCCGCCATCGCGGCCGCCGCGCGACTCCGACCGCAGTACCGGGAGTCACCGTCCGCGGGACGTCCCAAGAGAAACCGTCGACGACACCACCCTCCACCTCTCCTCCCCTGCCTGAAGGGAGCACTCACGGTCCCGCCGCCGCCGCCGGAACGCCACCGAGACACCGCATGGCCGGGCCACGCACACCCAACAACACCGACCAACGTATCTTCTTCTTGGCGTCTCCTGCCGATGGCGCGTCGTAGCACACTCACAGGCCGCGAAGGAACGAACGTCGTCTCCCCACGGCGCGTTGTCGTCGATCGTCGACGGCGACGACGTTCGCCGGCAACAAAGAATCAAGCCCGCAGAAAACGGCTCTCCGTGCGTGGATGACGCCGTCCTACTGCTTCGGGCCGTGCGAGAAGGATCCTGGTCGGATGCTCGCTTGGCTGGCTGCTCGCTCTTTCGAGCTGGCTGTGGGCTGCTTCTCCGGGGGCGAGCATTTCGAGGAGGAGAGGAGGTGGAACAGACGGCAGGGGAGAGGAGAGGATGCCCCCTTCTCCTCCCCCTCGTCCGTTTCCCTCTCCCGGTTCTACCTTTTCTTTTTTTTTTTTTGGTGGTTAGTTTTGAGAGTTTGCATGGCTGCCGCGGCGGGAGGGCAGAGGCAGCGCAGAAAAGTATGCGAGCGAGTTTTTCGGTTGCCATATTGGCGGTCAGAGGGCGCCCTACTGGTTTGTGTCGCCTCCGGTTTTGTGCGGAACGTCGGTGCTGTGTGCGTTTTCTTTCTTGCTTTCTGGTGTTCTACGTGTCGTCGTTTCTCAGTCGGATGTAACGGGAGAGGTCCGGAACTAACTCTGATGGTGCGTGACATACGTTCAGTGTGCTCGCGCTTCCTTCGGTTACGCGTTTCCACGCCATAGCGTATGTATGAGAGTCGGAAATTGTTTAGCAAACCGAGGAACAGTTTGTATGTGCGGGGGAGACTAGAGAAATATCGTTAGACATAGCCCCGCTCTTATAATGCTCACAATGAAGCCTCGAAGATTTTGATTCAAGTATTTATTAACTTGACATACATTCAGTTATACTTAAACCTACAGCAAAAGAAGGGAAAAAAAATGCTGCTTTGGGCTCTTTGCGGTTGGAAGAAATCGTCCTGAGAGTGTTCCAAGAATCTGCGTCAAGACGAATGACCAGATCAAGACTCAAACATAGAGGCATACGACTGGCTATCTCACGGAAGTTATTTTCCACGTGCTACAAACGCTGAAAAGATAGGTACGACGGAGGCATCACAGTGTTAAAGTTTTTCGTAATAAAATAAAAACTAACTTATCACAACGAGTTAATTCCCATGACACCAATCATGGCGTCAGGGGGTACGCTCACGCACGATGAATCGCCCGACGCGTCGAAGGATACGTCTGGCGTTTCGCTAACGCCTTTGTTCCCTATGGCTACGCTAACGAACTCGGGCGAACTGCAGCCTTTACAAATGGCGTACAAAATGCTTCACAGCAGCTACAACCCCGAGATGATAATCTACACATTCTCGTTTCTCTACAGTTTGACGTTCGACATTTAGGAATGCAGTTGGATATGTTCCTAAAATTGAAGCCGCACAAAAAGCCGACAAAGCGTTGTAGACGAGGCGTAACGAATATGTGAAAAAAACAGGCCGCCCTAAAAACAACAAAAACCTTAAAAAATTAATAATTTGCTTCTCTTCGGGAACGGAAACGCTCCCGAATTATCTTCACCACGTCGCACAGATCTTGAAAAGAACAAAAACAGAAAAGAAAAAGAAAATGTAATTCAAAGAAGGAAAGCCAAGCAGCTGCAGACGCCGGCTTAAAATACTTCTTTAATTTTCCTCCTTTTTTTTTTTTTCTTCCCTTTTCGGGGATCGGGTGTTTTTGTTACTCTGCGCCTGATGGCCGCTGATGGTTGGAGCACGACCCCGTGGCTGTTTGTTTCGGCACGGATTGGCTTAGGTTGGTGTGGTAAGTACGTCTGGCTTTGCCGCTTCGTACGCCCTTGTTTATTTCTTTCGTGATTTTTGTTTTTTCTTAGGTCCTGTCAAATCCTTTTCTTTTCGCTTGTCTCTTCGCAATCGGCCGGTCGCAGCATGCGGGGGACAGCTGGGTCTTTGGCGACTCAAAAAAAACAAGAACTGGAATGCGCGCGGTGTTTTGAAAAGAGAAAACACAAAAAGAGAGGCATACTGAACCAGGCGCCGAATTTTCGCTCTTTCCTTTTTTTGTCAGCTTACCGAGTTTTCTGAGTCTGTTTTCGTTTGGGTTTCTTTTTTTTTTTTTTTTTTTCTGGCCGTCGACGAAGGAATATATTTTGTTTTCAATTGTCACAAACTATTTTTGGAAAGATGGACTTGTAAGGTCATTACACCCAAAAACCAAGGCTAAGGAAAATATCAAATATGGCGTACACCTTTGACAAGCCTTTAGGCTGGCAACACTTGCTAGAAACAATATTATGCGAAAACAAAAGCGAAAATCCCACCTAGCTAATTCTTTTTGTCACGAGTTTTCTGAAGTAACCAAGATTTTTACTTAGTCATTGTTTAGACATCAACTAAAATACGTCTATGGCACTCCAGTGTAGCACAACGATTTAAGCTCGCGAAATTGATCTTGTCTTTCTCACCCTGCTTTTTTTTTTTTTTTTTTGCTTACTTGTTTTCTTATTTTCTGCGACCAAACGTATCTTTTATTCGTTTCGTCGTGTTGTACATCGCTCGCTGCGGTGCATGTAGTCAGTATGTGAAAAGTCACAATTTTCATAGCTGGCGAAATAAGCATGCTAATTTTTTTAATAGACAAGAAACTTGCTCCCCGGAAAAGGTAGAAATCCACCTTTTCCGGAGGTCTGGAAAGCCTCGTAATTGGTCCTCGGTCGTCCCTATCGGCTAATACGGCAATCTGATTGGCTGTGGAGGGGTAATGAGATGCACGGAACTAACCACGCCACGCGTCTCTGAACCTGACAACGACTATAAATAACCTTCTTGGTAACACGAACAATCTACCTCAGTAAACTGTTCGTACAGACGCCCTTGTCGTGGGCAGTCGGTAACGCTCAGGTACCAGTAAGATTGCTAAGAAAATTAATTTGACACATGAACGACCCGTGTTCTGTTGCTTGTCGTTCTAGTGGGACAAAGAACCCGTACAGAGTAGCTCGCACGACTAGAACGGCAGGGAGTTCCTTCAGTTGTCCAGTGCGAGCTTGAGTCCAACCTATAGCAAAAATAAGTCCAAAAGACACAAAAAAACGAATAAATGCAGGGAGAGAAGTGTGAGTTGGGTTCAAAGAGAAAGCAAAGTAGTAATCGTAGGCACTAATTGCTGGGTAGACGGACGGCCTTGGTCAGGCTTCTCGTCTGACTCTGAGATGACAGCGAAGCTGAAGAGAGGGGCGTATTTTTTTCCGTCAATAAATCTTTTCTTTTTTTTTTTAGCAAAGCTACACCAAGAAGACGACGTGACCGAGCAAATAAAGGCTCCCACTGGGGAAAAAGATATATCCAGGCTTCGGCTTTCTTAATTGTCGAATTTAAGTGGTTCGCGATGGCGCGCCGCCGTTCAGTCGGCATCGTTCTGACGTTGCCCATATGGCCGCTCTCGCCTGCGGCGCCTCACGAAGGCTTTCTGTTCGTTTAGAAGCGCTGCACGCTGTGAGAGAGCGCCCAGCTTGCCCGCATGCCTGGTGCCGTGCTCGCAGAAAGAGGGCCGTCTCGGAGTCTGCCGTCTGCAGTGATGGGGATCCTCGTAACAATGGCTCGACACCGAAGCGAGCGTTCGGAGACCATATGCGGATCGTCGACGGATTGGGCATCCCAGACGCTTAGTTTAGCGCTTGAATGAACCAACTGAGCATTGTAGAGTCTTAAAACAGACTGCGTCCTTCTGTGTAGGAAAGATCAATAGACGAGCAAACAGATCGGCACGCCACCTTGTAGAGGACAGGGTGGGGGATACTGCGCTTTGGGGAAAGGCAAAGAGCGAGAAGCGAGTATGTTCTGACGCCGTTTGCTCCAGAGAACCCAAAGAGACAAAAAAAAAAATAATAAAGGTACGGGCAGATCTTTTTTTCACTTCCTTTTCACATAGCCTAAAAAAAAAAAAAAAAGTACGTCAACTATTGTGATTACAAAACAAATGTTGACTCATCATCTACCCATCATGTTGATAGCCTACTACAGCTATCACACGACCGTAATGTTTTGGCATTTTCATTTTTTAACCCCCTGAACTACAAGGTATAACCTTTGCAGAAATCGCCTCCTGCGCGCTGCCATCTTTGTCTGCTGGGCTGTGGAACGCCTTCCAAGCATGCGCTGTTGATCTGCTGTGGGGTATATCGGACGCTGCGCGCGCGTTCACAGCTCAGTGACTCAGCATTTTTTGCCCGCTCGCCTCGTTCGAGACTGCCGCTGGAAAGGTCTATAAGTGAGTAGATATTGTCAGGAAGGAAAATTGTAGCCGAATGTATACAACGGGCATGTTCTATGGGGCGAACGTGTGCCTGCAACTAAAAGATGAAGGAACCACACATTCTGTGTCTGCAACGGCAGGGTGAAGCAGTGCGTAGCGGCTGCGTTTATACACGGGCAATACTCAGCGAGCTTCTGAACCAGAACACACGACAACAGCCGAAAATAAACTGGAACTTTCCAGAAGATCAACGATCTGTATAAGAAAGGACTGGAAAAGCGTCGTAGCTTGCGTGCACTGCCACTGTGTCACGCACGAGACATGATGAAGTTAAAATAAGCACGATGGCAGAGGACGAACGTACTCGGGACAAATTTGGTTCTTGATCTTATGAACTCGATTCACAGCTCGCGTCCATTGCGCTGTTTTCAGTAGATACATTATATACATGAATGCGCACCCGCGATCACCCGAATTCACTGTTTGCTCACGAGACCAGTGGAACAAAAGCGTTTGCTGCGAGCTTCGAAAGAGAAAATCCCCAGTAGCGTTATCGTGTGCTTCAGCGGCGAGCTTTGTTCTCGAAAAGGCTGGACGAACCTATAAATATAAGTTATAACTCTGTGTCAACGGAACGGGAGATGATCATGTGGACACTCGTTTATCGCGGGAGCGGTGAGAACGCATTTTATTCTCCATTGCATTGACTGGAACAGCAGTCATGCAATCCCCGAAGTTACCAAGCTCTGGCGAGCAATGACGGCACCCCTGCTTTTCCAAACTTTTTTTTTCTTCTGAAAGGTAACACAATTAGCATAATACATGAAAATACCATATTTATTACGGCATAAATTAAAGTTACACGAGTAGGAGCGATCATCGATTCCCCAACATTCTGGGACATTCACCTCTTGCGCCCTCTCTCGGAAGCTCTGAGCAAAACTCAGTAGATTATTGAGTTCAGCCGAACAACCGCATAGATCGTTATATTCGCCGGAATATATTTATAGACGGCAATAATTTATCAAT